ATAACATGATCTTGGTAACTAATTGACCATTCATTATCAGTTGGAAATAGGCCAATGGAGGGATGATAGGAGTTGCTATAGGGAACTTTCTGGGTGTCTGGCTGGTGAGTCTTGCCCACATGCTCCGGGTTTAGCTGATCGCCATATTTGGGTCGGGAAGGAATTTTCCTCCAGGGTAGATTGGCAGAGGCCCTGGAGGTTTTTCCCTTCCTCTGTAGCATGGGGTACAGATCACAGATGGAGGACTCTCTGCATCTTGGGGCCTTCAAAGTATTTGAAGGCTTCAATATCTGAGACATAGGTGAGAGGATTATTCTAAGAGGGGTGGGTGAGATTCTGTGGCCTGCACTGTGCAGGGGGTCAGACTAGATGATCATAATGGTCCCTTCTGACCTTAAAGTTGATGAGTCTATAATCTTGGGCCCTTCTGCAAGTGTGCTGGACCCAGGTGCAGCTGCAGAGCTAGGCACAGAATGACCCTTGTGAAATCCCTGGCTCAGGGATTCCTTGGGGTAACGGGGCTGCCAGGGCTGTTTCACTGAAGACTATGGGAGATTTTCAGAAGTGCCCAAGGCACCTGGACATGTGCTCCTAAATCACTTGGGCACTTCTGAAGCACCTCTTTGGAGCCCAATTTGGCAGGGGCTCCAACCTTTCCGCCACCTTTCTTGCTGCAGCAGGACTGCTCTTCATGCCACAGATGCTTGGCAGGGAACGTGAGAGCTGTCAGTGTCGCAGTGAAGCAGGTGCCTGGCCGTACTTCAGAAGCCGGCAGAGAACACAAGGACGGGAGCCTTTGCCTCTAGGAATGTACAGTCAAAATGGCAGATTGAGGTCAGACCAGAGGACAATAACGGTGCTGCCTGGCCATTGTCTTAGGCCAGACAAAGCAAGCTGGCTGGACGTGACACGTGGGGGGCGAGGTTAGCGAGGCAGCTCTGCACACCAAGCCAAATGCACAGACAGTGTCTCAGCAAGGCGTGGCAAGGACACTGCCGCCAGCCCAGCTGTATGTGGGGGGCAGGTGGGCGCTCTGCCTGGGGGCCTGCTTCTACAGCCAGTCTCCTGAAACAATGTCCCCGAGTACCCCAGCACTGTGACGCCTGCGCGCTTTTCAGCCCTCCTCCGCCGTCTCCACCCGCTCACCTCCTTAAAGTCAATGTGGCTGCTCTCCTGCAGGCCCAGCTCGGTGAACGAGCCGTCGTGCTCTTCACATCTGACGCACACATTCATGCTGTAGCCAACGGCTTTGACATTTAACGACAGGGGCTGGGTCTTTCTCTTGACATCGCAGATGAGGTTAAAGTTCACTTCCCCCTCCATGGTTGGTGTGAAGAGGATGGTAACAGGGAGCCTGCAGAGATGAACACGACAGCTTTATTCGCTGGCTCTTGGAACTCCATTGCACTAGAGGCTGTGAACGAGAGGGACGGATAGCCTTGTGCCTGGTGCACTAGAGTGCGACTCAGGAAAGCCATTCTGTACTCTGCCCCAGGAATAACTCGGGGCAAGCCAGTTAGTCCCTGTGTCAGCGCCCCATCTGCAAAACAGAGCTAAGTGCCCTGCCTTGCCTCACGAGGGCGCATGAAGGATAAACACATGAAGGATTTTGAAGTGCATAGGCAGGATTGCAAAGGGGCCAGATAGATACCTGAGGGTATGTCTACACTACAAAGTTAGTTCGAACTAATGGACGTTAGTGCAAATTAACTTTGATAGGCGCTACACTAGCGCTCCGTTAGTTCAAACTTAATTCGAACTAGCGGAGTGCTTAGTTCGAACTAGGAAAACCTCATTTTACAAGGATTAAGCCTAGTTTGAACTAGCTAGTTCGAATTAAGGGGTGTGTAGCCCCTTAATTCGAACTAGTGGGAGGCTAGCCCTCCCCAGGTTTCCCTGGTGGCCACTCTGGCCAACACCAGGGAAACTCTTCTGCCCCCCTACCAGCCCCAGACCCCTTAAAGGGGCACGGGCTGGCTACGGTGCCCGTGTCAGGTGCAAGCCTGCCAGCACCCAGACAGCAGACCCTGCACCTGGCACGGCTCGAGCCAGCCACCCGGTGCCCCCCAGCCCTCCCCCCCCTCCCCGG